GCCTTTTTCCATCCATTCTTTGAAAAAGAATTCCAGGAGGAAAAAAAACTTGAATGAGCAACAATCGGCGAAAACGTCTAAATTTTTGCTGATACAACTTATGATGACATTGATATAACATTTTTTAGTCATTTCGTTTCTGTATCTATGCTTGTTTCATATGATTAAATACGCTTTCTACAAATATATTTCAGTAGAGAACCGAATAAACATTTGTACTTCGATATATCGCTATCATACAATCAGTGTGTAGCTTGATAATGCTTGCTATTGATTTTCATAATTGTCTAAACCTTTAAAAAAAAATGAATGCTCGTACAAATTAAAAGAATAACAAAAAACTGATATGGACCTGCATGTGCGTTTTAGCTAGGTTTAGTCTAAGAGAGAAAAGTTCAAATAGGATACTAAATGCGTACTTCGAGAATATAGATTTTTGTGAGGTGAATTTAGTAATTTGTGCAAAATAAAGTAAGTTCTGTTTTGCTTTATTCATTTCAGGAAAATCAACGCTTCTACCAGCCTTGCTAGCCGCTGAAGGTTATGACAAGATTATTGTCACGCAACCTCGACGTCTACCATGCAACTTGATATCTCAACGTGTTAATTCAATGGTTAACAATGACATAAGTGGATGGGCAGTAAGTGGTGTTGAGCGCAATGTACAAGCCAACATTCTCTATCTGACCGATGGTTTATTGAAAGAACGCCTATTGAACGATGACAATTTCATAACAGAAAAGACGAATGTGAGAAAATCAGTAGTATTCTTTGTTGACGCATGAACGTTCGATAAATATTGATTTATGTTTGGCATTATTTGCACGACTATTAAAATTGAAACCTGAATTGAAGACAAAAATGAAAGTAATTATATCATCTGCTACTTTGGATACAGCAGTTCCGACATTGTATCGAAACATCGCTGGTTGTTCTTTAATTGAATTTAATTTAGTATCGTTATCAACACTTTATCCAGTGACTGTAAATGATGCATCAAAGGAAAATCTACTTGATCTTGTACAAAAATTTTATAGTCAACGAAATCGGCATGATCAAATACTCTGCTGTGTCGGTTCAACATTGGAAGCATTGGAAAATTGCCGATTAATAAATAAGATAACAAAAGGTGCCATTGTTGCATATCCTCTCATACAGTCACAATCTGCTATTGATCAGCAAAAATATATTGAATAAGGGAGTGTTTTTTTCTCAACAACGGTTGCTGAAACATCATTGACATTTCCATGTTTGAAATATGTTATTGATACTGGTTTGATCAATATGCCAGTATATAGTTTACAATTAGAACGAACAGAATTACAAGAAATAAAAACTGCTGAATCAACAACAAAACAAAGACGCGGTAGACTTGGTAGAACACAACCTGGTGAATACTATGCACTGTACGATTATACACCTGGTATGGCAAGAAAAAATATTTTTAGAAACACGAGAAAAAATTTATGTTCTAGGTGAACAACGAAAGTATCCTGTGCCACAAATATGTCAATCAGAATTAGTAAATATAGAATTTGCTTTACGAAGATCTCGATTGAAAACGAGTTTGAAAGAATTTCAACAATATTTACTTGATAAACCAAAAAAGGAATATATTGACGATGCCTTGAAACAACTACAACGCTTAGGTAAGTGATTATTTTTTGTATTAATAAAATTTGATAGATATTTATCGAAAATTCTTTTTCAAACATCTGTATTGCATTTAGGACTCATAAACTTTTCTTCCAATGAAAGTTTCACTAATCTTGGTGCGTCAATTGCAAAATTACCCGATTTCAGCTCTTTACCGATGTCTAAAGCTGTCTATGCTGCATTGAAACAATACCGTTGTGGTCGTGATTTGATCATTTTGCCATCAATTTTGTCCGTTCTTAATACATCAGCCATACTGAAATCAATTTCAATTCAATATAACGGTTCCGAAGGCAATTTTATGACACTTTTACAAGTGATGAATGCCGTTTTAATGGTTCGCGATGCAGTTCCACCTAAACAGTTCAAGTTAGATCGTGTTTGTGATGCTAAAGGATTGGCCGCTATTGCACATGTGATTAATCCAGCACTCCGACGATACAAAAATTTAGAAAAAGCTTTTAGAGCTTATCAGATGAATTCCGCGAACTTGCTCGTGTTCAATCTGGCAACTGGGAAAATATAGCTAAAGCATTATTGACTGGATTTTCCGATAAAATATATGCATCTCTAAAAATGCTTCAAGGTAAAGCACAACAATTTGTAAAGTACAATGTGAATCAACGAAGATCGAATAATCAACAGCAAGATTCATTGAATGAAGTAGCTGAAATTGCAGTTATTGATAGATCTTCGACGTTAAGAACTGGAAATAAAGGAGCTTTACCTGCACCATTAGTTATAGCTCGTGATGTTCGATATTTAACAGCTGTACGTTCAGCTTCTATTCTGTCATTTATTGGACAACTTGAATCATCATGGTTAGAATATATTTTTAGTCGTGAATTACAATTAAATGAAGCTGAAGAAAAAACATTGAAAGATAAAAATATATTACAACAAGCAATTCAACGTTTTTCACAAGTACAAATCCAAATCAATAATAGAAAGCTAGTATTCCATGGTCCATCGGGTCACATTCTCAATGCTGAACTTTATGTTCGACAACAACTGATAACTGTGTTAAATTTTACACTGGTACCCGATTATCCAAACAATTCTGACAATAATCTTACGAGAAATTTAAAGAGCATAACAAATATGCCTGGTGATTTATTTGGTCCATTACGATGGCGATGGGAGTCTGAACAGCAAGTGAAAGTACGAACAAAAATGAATAAGAATAATGGTACGATTGATGTGACTGTCGAAGGTATTGATTCACAAAATCAAGCAGTACATAGAGAATTTATGTCATTCTTAAGCTGGCTACGCATTTGTGCTGTAATTCGATATCCGAATTCAGGTAAGTGAAATATCGGTTGGAAACTAGGACGTTTATCAAAAAAAAAGTTAAACGACTATTGCGTACATATATGTAGGCGTCGAAACAAAATATGAAAAGCGTGCATATACTCAATGTCTATTAATGTTATATGCCAGAATTTGGATTATCTAACTAATGGATGGACCTATTAAATTGTACTAAATAAAAAAGCAGTTTTTCTCACTTACTCTTCGTAAAAAAAGATTCGCTTATATACATTGTTTAACTGCGACGAGCAAAAATAACGGAATACTGATGAAAATTTTTAAATAAAGACTCTATTGCAATTTCAAATATGACATGACATATTTCACGAAATGCTGCGTCTTTCATCAATATAGATTTAAAAATTTTGAAAGAAAACATTATGAGAGCATTTATCGATGAAAAAGATATAACAGCGTAGAGGAAAATCTGTTCTACCAGAATAATCTGATTGCTCTTATTTAATACGACACAACTTCATCGTTTTTCTTCTTCAATTTAATAGTCGCATCTTTCTGTCTAACACTAACACTAACGTAAGTATTAGGCTAAAGTTTTTGAGCAGAAGTGAAAATACCAAATCGATTGCAATAAGTAATAGATCATGACGACAAACAGATATTAAAATATAGATACAGACTTTTTCTGCTTTCATTTGAGATATTTGATTTGTCAATCGTCTCGTATTCGATATTTCTTCTTTGAACAACACTAAGAAAATATCAAAGTGTCCCAATTATAATTCAAGCGTGTTTCAACTAACCATTTCGACGAATTTCTTTATCAATTTGGTTTACAAATAAGAATGCTAAAGTCAAAATACTGGAAAACGTATGTTTTCATAAATAAAATACACACAAAAAATTATTGATTACACGGTAAAATGATAGCTCGAATTTTTCACAGTACGGAGTCCATCCGATGTACTTCGAGCTTTTGCCACCTGGATCAATGGACAAGCTGTTGGTTTTTTACCTTTTTTTGTTACGAAAACTAAATCTTAGAGACCAATGTTTCTCTTTTTGTGTCGATGTAAATTAAATTATATGACTTTTGTTCGATGTCTAGGAGTTTCACCTCGTGTTTTGAAACCGGAAATACGTGATCAATTTCTCGACATGGAAGCAAAAATTAGCAATATAACTGATCCGGATCGAACGCCGGTCGACATATGGAAAAGTTTGAAAGGTCCTAATGCCAAACGTGAAACACGTATGGAAGTGGTGGCATGGATAGCTGTGTGTCAGTTTTATTGTCGACTAGAAGGCGGTTTTGTTCGTGATTGGGTTGTCGGCAATTATTCCTCAAAACCAACTAATCTACCACCGAATCAATAGGTTCAATATCAATCATCCGGTGTACCGTTGTTACATAAAGATCTGGTCCCATCAGATCTCGACTGCCATTTATCACAGTCAAAGAATTTCGACATTGAAGCTTTTATAGATGCATTATTTGTCTATGGAATTACAGTAACAACGATTCGACAAGACTGGCGTTACATACTTTTGATAGATGAAAATTCCAAGACTGGTCCATTTACAATGGATTTAATCGAACCACATATTGCTCTAACGCATGATCGAATTGATTTTGATGTTAGTAATTTATCGTTAGAAAGAGGATATACAAAAGATTTGGGTATGCGTGTTGATATCACTCGTGGATCATATCCAATTCAACTTGAAAAGATTGTTGAAAATATCCGTAATAAAAATTTTCAAGTTTTACGGCCAATCGATGGCAAAAATGGGCCAAATACATCAGATACGGTTGCTGAACGCATACAGAGGATGAAATCAAGAGGATGGACACAAATTGGCATACCATTATCGTTTATCCCAGATCCACCGTCCACTTACAATACTGCTCTCGTACCTTATCCATCGACAACAGTACTCTATCAGGACCTTGTGACTCAAATCAAAAAGATACCTGGAGCAAATGTTATATCGATTGAACAAATAAAAAATCCTAATATTGAAGCATTGTATGAATATATGAAACGAACAATAGCAAAAGAATGTCCTGGTAACGATCCAAATGAACGTAAATTATTTCATGGTACTGGTGATCCAGCAATTGAAGGAATAATTAACAGAGGTTTTGATGGCCGATACTTTTCTCCGAGCGGTGCATGGAGTATGTTAACAGTTTCATTCACAAACTGTTGTTTTGATTCTTAGTAGATATGAAAAGTACGATCGGTTTAAATAGTTTCTTGGATTTTATTTCAACCTAATATTATAACAGCTACATTTATACCAAGCCTTTTCTTTCAACAAGAACGCAACAGAAACACATGTCACTTAATTGAATTTATCTTGAATTTAAAAGACAGGGCATTTTTCATGTCTAACGCGTATGAATATTCCAATCTTGCGATAAAACGATACACAACTTAGAGTTTTTAGAAGTCAGAGAATGTGAGAAGAGATTAAGAGACAAAAGGCATATGTAATCTACTATTCTGAGGCAAAGCGCCAAATAGAACCGAATCCGAAAAGTCCGATTTGACACGATCTCTCTTTCGAAGAACAGAGACGATATTTTTGAAGACAGTAACAGTTCTAACGATCTGGCTAACTAGTTCTTGCAAAAGTAAACTGACGCTGATTTATCATATAACGACTTTCTTTACGAGATTTGCAGCTGTTCGTTTTTGTACAACTTCATCTACTAATTCCAACAGGGTCATCACAGCTATTCTTTTCTTCTACTTTAACTTGCCATTCGCATCGTTCGCATGTCTCATGCTATAATAGTAGTTGAATTCTACATTTTGTTGTGTATAGGACGTGGTGCCTATTTTGCCGATGATCCTCGAAAATCAAATGGTTACTCACTACCTGATCCACAGACGAATCGTCGTGTTGTTTTTTATAGCAAAGTTATATTGGGTGTTGAATCTGTGCAGAACACTACAAACAATTCACTGGGCGCAGCACCACAAGACCATCATTCTGTTCATGGCACTGGCGGTTGGGCGGGAGGGTGTGGGTGTGTGGACCAAAGCACACAAGCATTGCCATTCACACCCACACCGACACCCACACACCCACACCCCACACACCCACACACCCACACCCCACACACCCACACACCCACACCCACACCCACACCCTTGGATCGAAAATGAATCTAGTTGCTGTAGGCCATTGACATTCCATTTTTTGTAGACTCTGCGGACTACTACATACGATCGTTTTCACGGATTCCGACATGATGAATGCGTAGCCTAAAAATATACAGATGAAAACATATTTGAAAAAGAAAAATTTCATTGAGTAAAGATAAAGAAATAGATTAACAGATAACGAGTAACTTAACCCATTCACCACGACGGGTCCCACCGGTGGGACCCGCTGGGGCTTAACAACAAACTTAATAGAAAACCAGTTTATGTCCCTTTTTTCGAGTGGAACACTGTACATAGTTTGTCATCTAATCGATCTCGCTATTGTTGGAATTATTTATTACATAGGATGGTGTTTTTCATTGAAACAATCAAGACAAAAACAAGTATCACAATCAGAACAGAAAGTTTTCATTTTCTTTGCTGTTGCATTACTGGCTTCTCTTGATTGTTGTTGCCGGATTTTTTTATAGCAGCCAACTTCTATATATATATATAAGGAGAGAGAGAAGAATAAGAAAGAAAAAACTGGAAATTTCGTTCGTTCATCTTACGTGTACTACATATAGAACATAAAAGAATAAAAAAAAAACTTGACGGATTTTTCGTATGATCGCAAAAACATGACTCATTATGCAATGACACAAAGAAGAGAACAATGAATAATCAGTAGAAGATAATGAAAAGAGTGTGGGTGTGGCTGTGGCTGTGCGAGTTGGTCTTCTCTTGATCAACATCCGCACCCACATGCGACACTCAACACCCACACCCACACCTACACTCCACACACACCCGCACTCACACTCCACACCTACACCCACACCACCCACACCCACACACCCACACCCCACCCACACCCTTATCGAATGATAATGCATCTGGAATGAGTTTAGCTAATCGTTTGTATTGTTCTCGTGTAATATATGCATCGTATATTCGACTACGTCGTTCTTGTTTATTTGTTATACCAAGAAACACATTTTCAACAGTAAATTCTTCAAATTGATAATGAATTTGATTAATTTGACCATTATTACGCGTAAGTTTCCGTCGTCGTAAATTCAAGATTCATTAGATCTTTTTAACTGACCAATCTTAAGTCAAATAACAACTTTATATTTAAAGTCTATAACTTTTGAGAAATACTTATCAGATGTCTATCACTTAATACAAGAAAAAAACTGATCAATAGAAAAGGAGAAATTTAATAACAATAAATAATAGTCATAAATACAGTTGTAAGTGGGTCAATTCTCCATAAAGAACAACAAATCAATATGTACATGGTAAATTCTTGGAGAATATCTGTGGGACTTTTTTATGATTATTATTTCGATATTTATCATCTGAAAAAAAGATCTTTGTTTTTGTTCTCTGTATTGGAAGTCTATTTACAAGATTTTCGTTTCTTTTTTCTGATTTTTTTTTTTGNTCGGTAGATACGTATTACTAGCGTTTTTATAAGTCCTAGTTTATAACGACGACTTTGATTACTATCCCATAACAAATATAAACCTGTATGAGTTGGTTTTCGATACATTGATGTAACTAGTTTATCTTCTGTATGAGTTACTCGAACGTCAAGAAACGGGATGGAATTTTCAACTTCAAACTCAACAGTGAAATGTAAGTTACGATGCCACTTATTAATACGTTTATGGAATTCATTAATTTTTTCTTTAGGAATAGTGAATATACAGAAAATGTCATCTACATATCTTAGCCAAATCATCGGTTTATATTTGTTATGGGATAGTAATCAAAGTCGTCGTTATAAACTAGGACTTATAAAAACGCTAGTAATACGTATCTACCGACTTTGTTCAACTAAAGAAATAATAAATAATGAACTAGATCTACTAAGAAAAACATTAACTAACAATGGATATCCACCACATATTATAAAACGAGGTATTACTGAAGGAGAGATACTCATTAAGACAATGTCTCAAACTAAGAAAGCCGAAGATAAAAATAAAAATGTTATATTCTTCACGATTAAATACTATGGACAAGAATCTATAATATTTACTTCTCGAATAAATAAATTATGTAAAAAATTACTTCCTAACCTGAAAATTCAATTTGCATTTAAAAAACATATGAGCTTAAGAAGTATCTTTTTACCAAAACTTAAAGGAATTGATGAAGAGAAAAAGAAAAAGAATTTAGTATACTCTATTCCGTGTAAAAATTGTGATAAAATCTACATAGGAGAAACTAGTCGAAAGAAGGACACCCGTATGAAAGAACATGAAGCCAAAATAAGAACATTATCATCGGACTCTAAACTCGTTGAACATATTCTGAAATATCAACATAGTTTTGACTTTTCAAAAACGGAAACATTAGCATATGAAAGTGACTGGAGAAAAAGGATAATTAAAGAGAGTATCTTAACTAATCGAACACTAGGAAAGTCTATAAATGAAACAAAACATACCATCCAAATAGTTCGCTAAACAACAACCAGTATTCATAACAATAGTAGAAATAATAACATTACCTATGTACATACTTTTTTAAAAAAGAAAAAATTCCATTTCATCTTAACAGGTGTTGTTGAAAATGCTCTGCCTTATATCAAGGTCGACTTTTCTCACACTATACCCTCAACTTTTTTTGTTTTTTTTTTTTTTTTTTTTTTTTTTTTTTTTTTTTACTTTTTCTCTATCCTATATAGCTTCCCAAACTTAATATTGACTTACGCTTAACTGTTGTAAGAGATGTTCCACCCTTTTATGGTCGACACTCTTCACATTATTCGCATAAGTTTATTTAAGTTTCTCATTCTTACATCCTTCATACGTTAATATTCATAAAGTTATATTCATATTTATATTTATTCATTTAATTTACTCGTTTCATATTCGTTTCCTTTTTTTTTTTTTTTCTTTTTTTCACTTTATTCTTCTTGTTCTCTACATAGCTCCTTTCAACTTATATCATATAACTTCATCAAATAATAATACTACACCGATAGAACATACATAGTTTCATATATTAATACATATATTCCAATAATTTATTATTTATTTAATNCATAAGCCATACTGTTTTATTGACATTTTCAAAGCCGAGCATAACTACTATGGTATTGTACGTTTCTAATGGAGCAGGTTCACCATCAACACCCCATGTTTCCTCAATATCGGCTATATTACCAGACCAGAAAGGGACATGATGAACAATTTCTCTACCAAAATGCTGACGCGAGAAAGTATTGTACATTGTTGTGTGTAGGATGTGTTGATGCCATGCCTTGTCGACCATCGGTGATGGTGCACACATTTCATTATTAGTATTTTTGAGAAGCGTGTAAAAGTGTTCCAATTCGATAATAGTATTAAGTGTGTCTTCACGATTCATATGCTCTTTGATTTGCAGACGTTCATTGAGATAAAGTACCTCCGTGTTTGACAGTTGAACTTCATTCAAAACTGATGCTGACGATAGTTCATCATGTAATATTGTTATGGAAATGAATACGATTTTTATGAGTGTCCAGAAACAAATACATTGGAGCTTACCCATGTTGCAATGATAAATCACAAAAATATCTTTTTTCACCTAGAAAAAGAAACACATTAAAACGAAAAAAAGAAATTAAGTAAGTGAAATTATTTGAATACGTCGCAAAATTTTCTTATCTACGTCAAAAAAGTATGACTTTGATATACGTCACGTAAATATCAAGCCATATTTGTATTCTGATTGTTCTACACGGTTGTTTGTATTGTGCAATGATTTCGATCGTTACTCTGATATTGTATTCAATCACGTCATGACGAATGAGTCATCAAAGCCTCAACAAACGATTTTACATCAACTTAATTTACTCATTGAGATATAAACAACAAACAGTATATATGTTGGCATGAAGAGATGTTTCTGGTTTTTTCACTAAAATGAAGGAGAAAATATAATAAATAACGTAAAAGGTATCACAAATTATCCACATTTTAACATCTTCTTTTCAAGACATCTCCTTATCATACTGTTTATGCTCTACTTTCTTTTCTTTCATTGACGTATATGATCTACGCACATGCTTCAATGATTGCCAAAAATAAATCGAAAAAATACGAAAAACTACGTCATTTGCTTTCCTTCACATCATATCTATATATAAAGAACGAACACGTACACAAAATCACAAAAAATTACATTCAATTTATAACAAACAAGATATTCTCGCATTCCTCATATTCGAAAATAATAACGATAGCCAAAAGTACAATAATGCGTCTGATTCTACTCTTATTCTTGATTATTACGATCGTCAACGCATGGCAACTCGCAGGTGACCAAGATCAAAACCAAGCTCTTACAAATCGTCGATTGGCTTTACGTGAACTCATCTATAATTCGATACAAAAGCGTGTCTTGCATTCATGTTCCACGTAATCGTACTTGACAACAAACTGGATCTTTTTTAATCAAATGAAATTAATAGGTGATCAGCTACAAGCAGAGGATTGTCTCTTCATCACGTAATTCTTATTCATGTTTCCAAATGGGCAAAGACACGTCAGGCTGGTGTAATAGTTGGAGAACATAAAAGGAACAAAGAGTTTACTTCTCATATGGCTTTCACTCATAATTTCAACTTGAGACAAACTCGTCTTATTGGCGAAATATCTGCATAGAAACCCGCTACTTTTAGAGGTATTCGCTCGCCATGTGATTTCACACATAGTTAGAGTTCCATAGTAAATCTTCGAACTGGAAAAATTGTTGAAAGACGCCCTTAGGCATTGTTCATCTATATATCATGTGCTTGTCCTTCATACTTTGAACTAGACAGAGAATTTGCGAATCTCGGAAATACCCGCACAGAACGACAAGTACAATTATTCATTCCTCATATGATCTACTCTCATGAGGAGAACGTGACTATATTCTTCGAAGCAAGAAAATAGTTGTAACCAACAACGTAGACTTGTTCATTTATATTACGTCCTCTGCTCATAATTTAGACACGATAGGATCCTTCCTGAATTGAAATAATATTTGAAAAGAAAGTGGAATGTAGAATTATTCATGGTTCATGTGACCTTTTCTCATGTTTTGAAATCGTTAGATATACTCTGCACGCATAAAGTAATTGAAAGGAATCATATAGAACTGTTCATGTGCAATGTGCTCTTTTTTCTTCTGATTTTGAGCTCGACACAGACCTTTGAAACTAAGGAAATAATGAACAACCAGGAAAGGAACACTTGTTCACGTGTCATGTAATTATACTTTATGATTCTCACTTGATAGAAACAATTTGAGCTTACAAAACAATTGAAATGGGTGAAATAAGCTGCTGCATAAATCTTGTGATCCTCTCGGAAAGTTGTAAAACTGGCATATACACGTCGGCGTGAAATAATAATTGAAAAGAGTCAGTTAACATCATTCAAATGCTCAGTAGGTTTTTTTTTATGATTGGAACGCGGCGAACACAAGTCAATTGATGGAAATATTTGAAGAGAGCACGTAGAAAGAACAGTTCATTTGTCGTGCAATCCATTTTCATCCTTTCAACTACGTAGATTAACTTTGGACGGAATAAATAGTTGAAGAATGTCATGGGAAGTGATGAGGTATATCTTTTTAAAAGGAAACTGTTTCAAAAAATTCATATATATATTTCATTTTTGGTATATGAAGAACAACAACAATCATCACCATGCCGTTGCATTTTGGCACGCAGAACGTCATGGTAGACAGACATTTTCATCTCTACTAATCAAGCTTTTTTGCATTTCTTCAATAAATTAAATACATACATGGTTGAAGTAAAATTCTACGCATTTCAGAGTAATTATGGTCAGAATTGCACTGGATGCTGAAAAAGAAATCATGAATGTTTTGCCTTTTGCTGAGATATGAAATAAAATAGAACAAATTTACATTAATTTTGTATACGAATTTCAATGACGATGATCAGCTATTTTGCTATAAATCCTTTTTCTAAACGAAAGACTTATTAGGATGCTGAATATAAATATGAGATTTGTTCGCACAATTGAACGAAGCAAGGAGGAAGGGCTTATGGAATAAATTAGATTTGTGGTATATGGTTCAGTCATTGAACTGTTTTCTTTATAGAGCTTCTAAACATTGGAATTTTTAAGCACTATCAAGTATAAAGGAGATAATTACACAAATATTTGAGAACGATGTCTGATTTCTCTTCCTTATTGAAATCCTCTTAGATATTTATATGACGTTATGCAAGACTTACATAGTAGTATAACGGAGAGACAATTGAATGATATCCCATCAAGATGCTGATGGTCGACTCGGAAATAACTCTATAAAACTTTAGTGAAAGAAATATTTTCAATGAGAGATTTGAGAAAGTTCACAATGCTTGACAAATATCTATCATTAATAATGTAAGATAAAGAGCAAATTTAATTACGAGTGCAAAACTGTGGATCGCTTGTAAAAAGCATGGTCAATAACTATGATCTATAAAATCTTCGAACAGATAAGAAACTTCTTGTTTAAACTTTGGTTTGATATTGGAAAAGTAAGAATTGTTTTTTGAGCACATCTCAGTGTCGTTTTATCATGCATAAGTAGTGTCGTCAATAAAGTATTATAAGAGGACAATAACCATATCTGTGCATCGAATGAAGTTTCTCACGTATCTTACTAAATCTTCATTAAACATGTTCTGAATCGAAAAGATCATTCAGTTTGTGCTGTTATTGGGGAAAATTATTTGTATAGATCTTATCAACCAAAGAGAAAATGATACTTAATGACTTGGA